TCACGCCCCGACTGAAAAGATGAATTATACATACATGCACGAAGCACTTGACTGTCCTGCGTATACTATGTAAAAGAAGAAAATAGCTGAGAAGAATGGTGTGTGGGCATTGCTTTGTCACGGACAGCGAGAGGTAACGGACGCAGGACAGTCAAGTGCTTCGTGCATGTATGTATAATTCATCTTTTCAGTCGGGGCGTGACTAACGGGTCCCCTCGAGGTCGACATCGACAGGCTCTCGTTCGTGTGGGACTCGCATCTGGCGTGGGCAAGCCTGTCTTCATGGCACCCCGCGCTAGGTATAGCAGCACAGAGATCGAGAGGACGCATCAAGTGATCTGAGAAACCCACGATCATTTAACTGCTCTACAGCGCGCTGGCTGTGAACTCGGGGCTTTGGGCTGCCTATCGGCCAAAATATCGGTTCCAACACACTCTCATGTAGTAGTAGTAGCGAGATACGCACGGACCGCGTTTCCTCCGACCTCGATTAAGGCTCCTTCGGCGCTCGCAGCCTCGAACTCCCCTCTCATTCTTTCATTTACCGGCTACCACAAAGACCGGTCCTACGCATCGTCCAAGCGTATTCCTGTTCCCCGACAACATTCTCAGCAGCCATGCGTCTGAGCCAAGCTACTGCCCTCGTCGCACTCGCCTGCCTTTTTGTTGCCGGACTTGGTGAGTCAGTGGCGGCTGAATATGGCAATGCAGCCGTGACCCCGGGTGTTGGGGACGAATTGGTCGAGAGCGCTCCTCTGCTCACCATTTCGTCGCCTCAGATTCGCTCCACGTCGGCCAAGTACTCAGCGCCGGCCAAGACACCGTGCCCCCCGACTTCGCCGGAAACGATCCATCAGCCAATCACCAAAAACCCAGGCTACGGCACCAAGGACCCCCAGGAGCCTGACACCAGCCAACGCTACCCGACTACGCCTGACGACCAGTACCACCCCGACACTGAGGCAGCGGACACCAAACACAACCAGACCACAAAGCTTCCGAAGAAGGAGGACACGCGCTACCAGCCGAAGCCGAACGTGCCTGCTACCGGTGGCCGCCCGAAGCGTGGTGGCGAAGAGTCTGGCCGCTTCGACGACAACGGCCGTGACAACCAGCACCACCACCGTCAGCCCGCGCGTACCGAGGATGGTCACAACTACGCAAAGACCGACCTCCCGGAGAAGGAGGACTCACGCTACCAGCCGAAGCCGAACGTGCCTGCTACCGGTGGCCGCCCGAAGCGTGGTGGCGAAGAGTCTGGCCGCTTCGACGACAACGGCCGTGACAACCAGCACCACCACCGTCAGCCCGCGCGTTCCGAGGATGGTCACAACTACGCAAAGACCGACCTCCCGGAGAAGGAGGACTCACGCTACCAGCCGAAGCCGAACGTGCCTGCTATCGGTGGCCGCCCGAAGCGTGGTGGCGAAGAGTCTGGCCGCTTCGACGACAACGGCCGTGACAACCAGCACCACCACCGTCAGCCCGCGCGTACCGAGGATGGTCACAACTACGCAAAGACCGACCTCCCGGAGAAGGAGGACTCACGCTACCAGCCGAAGCCGAACGTGCCTGCTACCGGTGGCCGCCCGAAGCGTGGTGGCGAAGAGTCTGGCCGCTTCGACGACAACGGCCGTGACAACCAGCACCACCACCGTCAGCCCGCGCGTACCGAGGATGGTCACAACTACGCAAAGACCGACCTCCCGGAGAAGGAGGACTCACGCTACCAGCCGAAGCCGAACGTGCCTGCTATCGGTGGCCGCCCGAAGCGTGGTGGCGAAGAGTCTGGCCGCTTCGACGACAACGGCCGTGACAACCAGCACCACCACCGTCAGCCCGCGCGTACCGAGGATGGTCACAACTACGCAAAGACCGACCTCCCGGAGAAGGAGGACTCACGCTACCAGCCGAAGCCGAACGTGCCTGCTACCGGTGGCCGCCCGAAGCGTGGTGGCGAAGAGTCTGGCCGCTTCGACGACAACGGCCGTGACAACCAGCACCACCACCGTCAGCCCGCGCGTACCGAGGATGGTCACAACTACGCAAAGACCGACCTCCCGGAGAAGGAGGACTCACGCTACCAGCCGAAGCCGAACGTGCCTGCTACCGGTGGCCGCCCGAAGCGTGGTGGCGAAGAGTCTGGCCGCTTCGACGACAAGGGTCGTGACAACCAGCACTACCACCACCCGTCGCGCACTGAGGTTTTGGATAACGAGCACTATCCGAAATCGAAGGCACCGGGTGAGTACGGACGCCTGCACAGACTTGATTCAGGGGGTGACAAGAAGAACGCCAAGCCTGAACGGGCACAGGTGCACGACCCGAAGCCGGACAACAAGAAGAAGGTAGATCCACCTCACCACGACCAGCAGAAGCCTACGCCAAAGCCACACGTTCGCACGGCCGATCGATCCGATGTCTACTCGACGCCAGAGCCAACGGAGAAACCTTCTCTGTGGGGATGGCTGTTTCAATAAGCCTGGCGCAAGCAAACGTCTCGCTGAGAGCTGGAGCTGGCACTTGCGCCTCGATTTGAAGCCGCGAAGACAGCAGCCTTAGATTCTTTTTGCATTTTGCAATGTTTCTGATAAGCTTAATACAATTTTCCAATGTCCTTTCTTTCTTCGTAGCTTGGATTTGTTCGCTAAGGACTATTATTATAATAAGTGGTAGTATTGTCAATTCCGTTGAAAATTTCCAAATCGGGCCGATTTCGAAAATCGACCAATACAAATTCAAGTACAGATCGAAACCGCTCCAAACAAGAATGCCACATGTAAATCGTACTTAATCGAGTTCCAATAACAATCCAAGTGGCCGGGGCGATTGGGGAGCGATTTGGCTCGGGCGATTGCAATCGGCCGGTTCGGAAATTTTGAGTAGAACCCACAATATAAATATGGTGGCAACATTCAATTGTATGTTTTCGATTTCATATTAAAAAACACATCTTAAGTATTGGCAAACCATGCACGAGAGCTATGCGTAGGCTGGGATAGCTAAGGGATTTTGTGTGAGGTAATGCCACGCGACAATTCTGGGAAAATTACGAAAAACAACAATTTACGTAGCTGTGGGTGCGCTCAATCCTCGTAACATATTTATTTTAGGAGCTGGCGATAGTGATAGGGCGGCAGCGTGCTGTAAAAAAACGAAGCGCTAACGTCCTGGCCAAGCTCGTGCAATTTAGGCACTGACCGGTAACGCCAGCGAGAATTCAGCGCGTTGTAGACAAGGTCTATGTTTTCACAAGGTTGCTGCGCATTGTCTGGGAGATCATTTTTCTACTAGTATTTGTTTTATCCTGAAAGTGCAAGTTCTGCATTGGTTGTTCTCAGACAGATAGTTTAGAAGAAAGACTCTCAGATGCAGTATGCCGATGTGACAAAATCGAAAACTATACTTCGTTCGAAGAAAGTAAAGTGAGCGCATGTGCTTCTAGTTGGCGTTAGTATAGAACCCGTTATGTACTTTAGTGTCCGGTACAGTAGTTGCCGACTACTTGTACAACTGCGTGTTGGGGGTTAAGCCACAACTCTATGGACGGTTCTAATAGTCGAATGCAGGCAGATGCTGCGGCTGCAAAGCAGGCGCAGAAGATGCCTGTGGATAGCGGTTTTGCCAGCACAAGGTTTGATATAACACAATATTCGAGTCAAGAAGCGCGGTTAGTGGACGATACCTATGGCCATCTACTGCGCCTGCTTCGCAGCCGCAGCATCTAGCCGGTAATACAGGATAGTTCAGTGAGAAATGATGCAGTCCTGTTTACTTTTAAAAACTAGCAAACAATTATTTTGCTCTTCAGAAGTTTTTGCACTCTCGCTAATTGCGATTTCGATGTCTCCTGAACGTTACCTGTAACTGGGAATACATTTGAAACAATTGGCGGGAACCCGGGTACCCATCGGGACCCCGGTTCCCCCAAAACTACCGGTACCCATATATGATCGAATGTATTGAAGAGTTGGTCTACGACCTGCGTTGAACGTAGCTTAAGCTCGGAAGAGAAACGGAAGGTGAATTCGTCTCCGCTCTCGTCCTGTGTCTCTCCATGAAAATCCAAACGCTTGCCTGGTACAGCGGTAGAGTGCTTTCCGGTCATATGGCTAACCTCCTGCTCATGTAAGGTGGACTTGGGCATGGTAAGGTACGTTATTCGGGCCTATTCAGTACTGGTGACAGATTTGCGGGTAGTTTTTCGTCGACAGCACCTGGGTTTGATGGTTTAACTTGCCCCAACGCTACCAATATGGGGGCCAAAACTTAAATTAATAATTCGCGATTTGGTCGGTATCATTTGCGGGAACCCGGGTTCCCGCCAATTGTTTCATTTCGTGACGAACTAAGGGTTGTGAGGCTGGTACTTGTAAGCCAGCAAGCTGGTCTCCTAGGATACATGCTCCAGCTAGATGAAGCAGCTATGAGCAGATAGTATTTCAAACACGCACCGTTATGGATCAATCAGGAACCGGACGATGTCATCCGATACTTTCGCTTCGCTCCTTATGTCTGTGTTTTCAAGGTAATATAGTTAGTTTAAATTACTTGCTCTTGTACTGTAGATGGACGAGCTGCCACACGCTGCCACACCAGATCGGCAAATAGTTTTCATATATGCTGTCGTTTGAGAGGCCGACCGTCGGCCTAACGGCTACACGATTAGCTGACGTTCCTTGAGTTGACGATGTCGGCGTCGGCACTAGTTCCGGGGTCGGCTCGCACCTGCTGGGGTACATATCGGTGAGCTACGGCAACAAGCGTAAGCTAAGAACATCGCTCATCAGCGACGTGGTGCCGAAGACCGGCGAGCAGCGCTGATCTCGGCAACGATTCCTCGCAGCACTCGTGTCCAAATGCGACGAAATACGGAATTTTCGAAATGCTCTCCATTACTCTCGGGCTTGTCTCGGGCTTGAGATTGATGGAGAGTATAGACGATATTCAGTTAACTTCAGTTACCGGGGCCAGTTTTTCGGCTTCAGTAATACCGGCTTCAGCTACCGAGGTGCCGCCTAATTAATCTGTGTTGGGCTGGCCACAGCACTCCCTCCGGGGTTACTGCTATCCCAGAATTAATAGAAGAGTTATATATTAATAGAAGTGTTCCAATTTCAAAGTGTTTCGTTATTCAACACCAAGCAGAATTTCAGTCGTTTTGATTGTGTCGACACAAATGGGCGTTACGAACCAAAACGTATGACCCGCAACGCCAATAACCGATGACGCCCTTGAAACCCACCGACCCAAGCCACACCAGCTTGCCATACAAGCGACCTCAAAAAGCACTGCCAGTCTGCACCAGCACTAGTGAATACTTATTCATAAAGGTTAGGAATGGGCAGTTAGAGGTTACGGACGCAGCCACCACAGGGCGGGCAGTCAAGCGGGGCTCAGACAAGCACTGTCAACACATATTATCATTTTTCCAGCCGTGGTGTGACTAACGGGTCCCTTCGAGATCGACATCGACAGGCTCTCGCTCGTGGGGAACTTTTGCAAGTTGTAAGTTACAACGAACGGCGTGGGAAAGCCTGTCGGCATGACACCCCGCGCCGGGTACAGTAGTATCATAACACACACAGCACTGAGACCGAGAGAACGCAAGGCAACCAACTGATCCGAGAAACTCACGATCATTTAACTGCCCGACAGCACCCAGCGCGTTCGGTGGCGTCGGCCTATGGGTTGTACCCCCTATCTGCAAGCCATACCCGTTACAATAGACAGACTCGATGTACTAGCTAGATATCTACGCACTGCCTTTCCTACGACCTCGACTAAACTAAAGCTCCTTCGCCGCTCGCTGCCTTGAACTCCCCACTCGCTCATTCCTCCATTTACCGGCTACCACCAAGACCGGTTCCACGCATCGTCCAAGCTACCTCTTGCTCCCCGACCGACCGCGTCCTCAACCGCCGAGCAGCCATGCATCTGCGCCAAGCCACCGCCCTCGTCGCACTCGCCTGCCTTTTTGTCGCCGGACTTGGTGACTCCGTGGCGGTGTGAAATTAGTCCACGGTGCAACAAAGTGAACAAGTGGATAATTATTTTTCCGAATGAAGGAAGGCACAACAAAACCCGACACGCCGTCAGCCGACATGAACCGCTGTCGGATAAGACAGTCAAGCACCAAGAGCAACCTCGCGGCTCATTCCGCGTCCTACGTCGCCGAGCGCAAGCACCTCGTCCGACACGAGTCGACCTCCAGTCACACCGCCGTGACCGACACGGCCCGACAAGCCCCAGCTCCGCGCTGCCAGTTCGATAGACAGATTTTTCAAAGCAACTAATCTATTCTGAGTACCCCTTAAGGCTACACACAAACTTACACTTTGCGGCGTGCTTTATTTTACTGCAGTTAGACCAACGATTACCGCCTACGACGGCCGTGACGACAGGGCGAGCTCTGCTTCAGCCCCCCCCCCCCTCATACCAGATATATTTCTCCCTGTGCAACCGACGGCTAAGACTAACCCCACCTTTCGAACCATGAGACCACGACTATTGATCAAGCGCGGAATCTCAGCTTCGACTGTCGTCGAGCAGGACAGTTTGAAGAACTCTTCCACGAGCCCGGCCTTCATCAATAGCACCACAAGCGACGATCTGCACACGCATCCATGACTACTCGACGACATCGCCAGGTCAAGATGCTGGACGCTCCGGGGATGCCTGTTACGACGACAAGAATGATAACCATGTCCAGCCCTACAGTGGGCACAACGAACACCTACAATTGCTATCTCGATCGCGGTTACACACACGATGCATGATGCGCCCCAGCTATCTCGACCACTACGACAACGCCTGGGCTTCCCACGCGCGTATGCTGTTGTCCCGACAACGAAGCTTTCGAGTATCCCTGGTGTGACGACAAAAAAAAACTGTGCTATCAGTTGCCGGTCAAGCTGCGCGAGTAGCGACTTCGTTCCCAACCACTATTCGAGACGACGCTGACTAATCCAGTATCAAAACGCACGACCAAGTTATCGCTTGCTGCACAAGCACCGCAGCGGGCTCCAGCACGAGCAACCGTCTCGCTTGCAACAATCGGTACACCCGGCATCTACAACGACACGATGCGGCAACTCCAGCGGAACTGCTGTAGCAGTGGACGCAAAAGTTCCGCAAGAACCCTTTCGGCAACAACACGCACTACCATCCACGTCAAACGTTGCATGGGGAGCTACCGACTACGCGTGCACGAACGATTCCCATCCGACAAAGCGGCCACCGGCCAGGAGCTAGGAGTTCAACGACGAGCAGTAGACCCTACGCGCTCCACAACGCCTCCGCGACCATGACTATTTCGACAACGACAAGCAGTAAACACAAGACTACAGTACTCAGGACAGCAACGGCTCAGGCATTTCGGCTCAAACTTACTGCTGTGGCTTCTACAACTACGAACGCGCCACCACTGCCCCGATCCGCTAGCAGTACGCACAAGACAATCGGCAAGGGCAGCCACTACGACAACAGAGGCAAGCTGTAAGTTCGCCTTCAGTACCTACAACATCGGCAGCGGGCTGGCCGCGCAGTTCTGTTTGTTTTTACTACGACTACGACTACGACTACGATATCAGCTGCCAGCGGGGCAGTTCCGATCTCTTCTGACGACTACGACTGCGAATCCGGCACAACGCCATTAGCGCGGGCTGTTAGCACCGCTTGTTCACTATCGACGGCTACTCGGTCTAGCTCGACTTCAATGACTGCGACTGCACCAGCGGGCTTTACGTTCTGTTCCGTTCGCTTTCGGTGACTACGACTACGACTCCGGCAGCAAGCTGCACGTGCAGTTTCGCCCGTCTATTACGACTAACTGCGACATCAGCAGCGGGCTCTACGTGGGGCTCCGTTCACTTTCACCAACTGCAACTCGGTATCGATCACTCTCACGACAACTATTACGACGTCGGCAGCGGCCTGGACACGCAGCCCCGCTTGCTGTCGAAGGCTACCATCTTATTTTCGTCCCTGCACTACGACTACAAGTTGAACATCGGGCTGGTCGTGCCGCTCCGTTTGCTTTCGACGCCCTAAGAGTTCATGTTGACCGGCTACTGTGACTACAACCACGACATCATCAGTGTGCAGCTCCGTTCGCATTCGACGACTACGAACTCGCAACCTCGACTATAAACAGCGACAACTACTACACCCGGGATCGTCACGAGCAGCGCGCTTGTCAACTTGTCCATGTCTCGCCTCCCAAACACTCTTCATGGGGCTTTTGGCACGCTCAACGTGCTCAACTTGCCAACGCGCATGTCACCACGGCACATTTGACAGGCATCTACCGATTGGGGTAGCTTCCCGTGCGCGGTGCCAGGGACGACTTCGACATCGAACAACGACTTCGACAGCGACTACAAATACGACAATATCACGTCCATATCGATGACCAGGACAACGACTATGACAACGACAGCCAGAGTGGAAGCATCCATGACTGCGACCATGACTACAGCTTCGACGGCGATCACGATGACGATTACACTACTACAACGACCAGGACTACGGATACTTAACCAACCACGACTACCGGTACAACGCAAACGACGCCTACGACAGCCCACGACTACATCTACTGCAACGACTCTGGCTACGACAATCCGAGCGCATACGATTTCGAGCACAAGTACGACTACGGCTCCAGTCACGAGCACGATTTCTTGGCACTCGACATCTTCGGCACTCGACGACGACAATCGCCTTGGGGGATCTCGCCATTCAACGTGTTAGTGGGCCAATATTGGGGGCTGCCATTCGGCACCTTGCCTATCAACCAAAGCGCCTCTAGCTTTGGCCCATTAACACAATGAAAACTCTTTAATCCCCCAATGCCTGGAAGCACCGAGGAAACTGATTATGGCAATGCACCCGTGATCCCGGATGTTGGAGACGAATTGACCGAGAGCGTTCCTCTGCTCATTGATCCGTCAGCCAAGTACTCAGCGCCGGCCAAGACACCGTGCTCCCCGACGTCTCCGGAAACGATCCGCCAGCGAACCACCCCAAACCCAGCTTACGGCACCAGCGACTCCCAGGACCCCGAAACCAGCCAAACCTACCCGACTACTCCTGACGACCAGTACAGCCCAAGCACCGAGGCTGCGGACGCCCAGCACTACCAGATCATCGAGCTCCCGGAGAAGCAGGAGACAATCCCCTACCAGCCGCAGCCCGATGTACCTGCTACGGGTGTATACTGGAACAGCGGAGGACGCGAGTCGGACCGGTTCAACGATGACAACGGCCGTGACAGGCGCCACCACCACCGCCGTCCCGCACGCACCGTGGACTACCAGAACTACGCGAAGACCGACACTCCGGAGGACACCCCCTACCAGCCGCAGCCTGCTACACGTAGACGCTGCAACCATGGTGGACGCGAGTCTGGCCGCTTCGAGGATGACAACGGCCGTGGTAACTACCACCACCACCACCGTCGCCCCACCCGCCCGAGGACAACCAGAACTACGCAAAGCCTGTCATTCCGGAGGACACTCCCTACCACCCTCAGCCAGCTACGCCATCTACGGGTAGACGCTGGAACCATGGTGGACGCGAGTCTGGCCGCTTCAGCAACGACAACGGCCGTGACGGACGGCACGACCACCGCCGTCAACCCGCGCGTACTGAGGACTACCGTGGACCTGGTAGATATGATCGGCCGAACCGACCGGGTCCGGTCGGTGACAAGCAATATGTAAAGCCGGAGTACGCACACAAGCACGACCCGAAGCCGGAGGACAAGAAGAGGGTGGGTCCACCTCGCGACGACCCCCCGAAGCCGCAACTTCGCTCGGCTGGTGGACCTGGTGCCTACCCGGCGCAGTAGACGAACAGGCCGTCGTCATGGGGGATGGCTGCTTTCGAACTGTGTGAACACGTACAAGTCGAGGCAGACAATCTCCCTCTCACCCACCCGCCCAGCCCCCGATTTGAAGCTGTGAAGGTAGCAGCAGCAGCAGCTTCGGATTGTTTTTACATTTTGACATGATCCTGGCAATACAAAATTCGATGTTTCCTTCGTGCCCTCATTAGAATTTTGTTCTGCTATATTTCCGTCATTTTCATGAAGAAGTATGGTTTGGTGGCCTTGTGGAACTTCTTCGCCATGGCGGCCGCTGCGTACGTAGGTGCGTTAGTACGTGGTTGATGTGGGGCTGGTCTCTGCTGCAGTTTTTGGAACAAAATATCTTGTTCTATCCGCCGTACATCTTTTTTTCTTGCAATGCTCTACTGTGGACGGCGCCGCAATACCAATTCTCAAGATACGCCAACGATTGCAATCTTAACTGCGAGCGCGACACTTACTGCAGTCTCGTATTGCCTGCTCAACGCATGCTGCTGTCTAGAGTGACGATTCCAAAATGAAGAATTTCTCCCGAGCCTTTTGCTTAGAAGCCCCAGATCGGGTGGCAAACCTTATTGCAATTATCATATGACAAAAGAAATGTATTATTGCGGCGACGGTGCGTATTGCAATTCACGATGATAGCCGATTGCAGCATGAATAACGACTGCAGTAGGAACTGCAGTGTTGATTGTGTCTGCCAATCGCCGCCAATTCATGTTTTTTTCAAACACTGCTCCGCTGTAGTGTTAGCAGTTATGGGGGGCGTGCTGTAAAGACGGTAGCATCTTTAGCTGGCATTTATCAGAATCTGTGTATGGCTTCATAACCCCACTCAGCCCAGTCCGGAGGACAAATGGAAGGACCAAAAGTTAGGCGCCTCGCTCCGTATAACTAGAAATAAATAGGATCATGTGACTACATGGGCACAATCCCCCGTCCTAGCTGTCCTGGTGGTCTTATCGGTTTAGCGTCCTCCATTGTCCTTCTCGAGATATAAGCCGTTGAAAACTTGTCTCTTGTAACATCGGATTTTGCCGATTTGTCCAAGCCTAGGACAATTTTGACTTGATTTCAGTATGGTCTCAGCTGGAGCTATCTTTAGCGCCGATTTCCCTGCCCGATGCGCCTTATAAGACACACCTTTGGGGGGTCAAAAACACCCCATACAAATATCAAGTCATTTTGGTCCTTTTTCGGGCTCCCTAGGACAAAAACGGCCGGTGTGTGCCACACCAAAACACGATTTGGTCCTATCTCCTAGGACAAATCTAAGTGGGGCTAATATGGCGCTGTCATTTGTTCGGGGTTAATAAGATACCGGTGCGGTACACTGTACCACGATCCGAATCTCTTTGTTGCAATAGCAGCGGAGGGCGATGATCATCTTTTAGAGAGTCAACAAACAGAATTTCTACCGCAATATTAAAAAACAATGTTTTCATCCCCATATCCGCTCAAAGAACAAAACTCTACGCAAGCATGACGCTGGATGTGGCAGTGAAGGCGCCGATTCCTTCAGCCTCGGACGCGCCCCTGGACGCCGTCGCGCTCGTGCTGCTGCACCACGACGCCCACTACCGTCTGCTCGAGCGGTCTCTGCGCGATTTCCAGCGCCTGGAGCGCCAATTGCAGCAAGAACCGCGTCCTAAGGCTTCCACCGCCCTCCCATCTATTATCCCCGCTATTGAAGCGTATTGCGACGTAAATCTGAGCTTTTATCCTGCAGAACAGCAGGCGGCTCGGCTGGCAATAGCCCTGGAGGATTTTCTGCGTGAATTAGCTGCCGATTCGCAGCTTTTGGCGAGTGCTCTCGCCCTTAAAACGTTCCTCCATGGGAATGTATTGTCAAGCCATACGACGGCCGGATCAAGCTACAGAGACGCAGTGGATGCTGCAATCGAAGCTGGTGAAGAGAAGACGGACTTGATGCAGGAGCGGGTCGCTGCTGGCTGCTCGGTGGAGCACCAGGTGGCTGTGAACGCGACAGGAGATGGAGACAAGCAGCTTGTGCTATGGAAGTTCTCGTCTCAAGGGACGGGATTGGTGTTCAGTGCTCAATTTTCTAGTGGGGACGGAGGTCACAGTGGGGACGTTGACCCGTACAGTGTTGGTGGCAATGATTCTGCATCGGCTGATGGGGAAGAAGAGAGGGAGGTGGTGCACTACCGGACGAACTGTGACTTCGCTACTGGTGATGACGAGGAGTTCATATATGGCCACTTTGTGACTGAAAAGACGGGCGCGATGACGCTGCAATGGGAGAACGTGGACATGAGTAGTGTAGTGTCCAAGCCGCTGAAATTCCAGGTGAAAGTGGTGTCGCTGAAAGCTGGTGCAAAGGTACTGGAGGTCGCAGACGGGCTGAACGCTGTTGACTCGAGCGAGTGGCTGTGCGACTACGTGTCTGCTTCGGAGGTCACGGCGCTGGAGGATCTCATTGGCTGGGAACATGACGAAAGTCACGATGGCTTTGGTGACAGCGCGTACGACGACAGCTTATCAGGTGAAGGTCCTGAAACGGATTCTCAGATTCAGTCTGCAGTGTTGGAAGAGCGCACCCATGAGCTCGAAGGGCAAGTGGTAGGTGATTTTCATTGTTAACCGGATTACCATGACTTCCAACCTGACTAATGCTGACTCATGTTGTTGTTGGACGACAGGCCCGGCTTGAAGAGCATCTTGCGGCCGCCAAGAAAGAACTGAAGAGTGCGCTGGACCGCGTAGAGATCGCCGAGGAGATCTACAAGGCCAATTTGGAGACTATTACTCAGCTGGAATGCGCTCCTGCCGTGCCGAAGGCGTCGATGATCACGCAGCAAGCGGAAGACACCTCCGAGGTGACCTCGGCACCGCCCGCTGCGACACCAAGCACGCAGCCGGAGGGACCTCCTTCGAGCGAGCTGGAGCGCGTGCAGAGACTATGCGCCGCCTTTCAAGAGCAGTGCCTCTGGCGGTCCGTGGAGAACATGGAGCTCGAAGCTCAGCTGGCTGCGTCACAAGTTGAGGCGACCTCTTGGCGTGAGAAGCACAGCGAGCAAGCCGCGCAGCTCGAGGCGCTGCAGCAGCAGAAACGCACGCTGCGCACGCACAAGAAGATGCTCGTGCAGGAGGTCAAGCGGCTGCAGCCGTACTCGCAGGTGAATCTGGCGGCGCTAGTGCAGGAAGCGCAGGAGGCCCGCATGGTGCAGCGCAGTCTGCAGGCCAAGCTGGACTCGCACGAGCAATCGGCCAGCGGCGTTGCGGGAAGCGTCGAGACCGCCGACTTTGTGCTCGTCGAAGCCTCGGAGGAGGAACCGTGAGATCGGCACTACTGTATGTTGTTGGGTAAAAGGCAATGGGGAGTATCTTGTACATGAAGTGTACGCTGTGGCGCGGTGTCCATGATTGACGACACTTGTGGAACATGTTGAAGCAGTCTCCGGTTAATTCCCGCTCGGGTACGCGGGACAAGCCACCTGGTCTTCATCAACCTCCACAGCACCAACTTCCGTCATGCATTCACGCCATCTTCCGTCGCAGAGTCATGCTTACGAGCCATCTTCCGTCACATGAGTACCAACTTATGCCCTGATTCTCATTAAGGTCTTAACATATATAAGTACTGTATACGTTCACGCCATTAGAGCACCCAAACTACTGTACTGACTTACCAGCATGACGCCCCATCTTTTTTGGTTCAGCCGGCGAGGCTCATCAGTCTCCATTATCCCGCGTCCCAGGCCGAGTCGCTGCGTCTCCCGGCCCCTTCCTCACTCGCCCTCTCGCTCGCTGGGACACCGTGTTCCTCCACTTCCGAGGCCGACGGCAGGCGCCGTCCAGGAGCATGGAGCTGGGCGTGGCGGAGCTGGCGATGGCCCTGCTGGGCGTCACGCTGCTGGCGCTGCTCGCGCTCTGGATGTACCGCATGGTGCAGTACCGCAAGGCCGTGCGCCGCTCGCAGGCGCGCTGGCTGGACTACGAGCCGGCGCCCGTGCTCACGGAGAGCGAGCTGGGGCTCAACTGGCCCAGCCTCAAGCCCATCCTGCTGTCCCCCATACCCGAGGAGCGCCTCGAGAGCGGACGGGTACGGCTACTGCAGCTACTGTGCAGCTGTGGAGAGAGTAGAGCTGGCTGTTGTGGTTGGCTGATTGTCTCTGTGTGTGTGTGTGTCTATTAGGAGTCGGAGAACGACACGGTGCTGTCGATGCGCAGGGACTCGCTGCGGCTGAGCGCCATCTCGGTCATCGCCTGTGAGTTTTGACTGACTGAGTGGCTGAGAGAGCGATGGGAGGAGCTGAGGGGCTGTGGCTGACGCTGTGTCTTTGTGTGTGTTGCTTGCTGTCATGTAGACGGGAGCTTCGATCAGCCTGTGGCCAAGACCGCCAAGGTGTAGCATGCTGTGCTGTACGGGGATGTTGATAAGTCATTCTGCTCGTGAAGGAGCTGTGGCCGTCTACTTCGATGAAGGCGACGCGCGGCTCTGAAGGGGGCAGGGGGTTGGCAGCTTGGGGAGTTTCGAGGAATCGATTGAAGCCGAGCCGGGTATTATTCTGTATGTGCTAGTGTGGATTAGAGCGGACGTAATGGGAGGTTTACAAACAACGAAAGAGTTCCTAAACATGACAGACAGCGCGGCGTGAAGGAAGGGAAGGGCTGCAGAGACGCACGGCGTCTCGCTCGGCAAGACGCGCGAGCACGCATCGTATTTATTAAATAATGGCCGTAATTCTAGCGAGCACGCCTGCCTGTCATTTCTCCTTCTTGCACACGGTTGACTCACTCGCCTGAGTTGTGATTCCTGCCTCTCGTTGAACTACAGGACAGAGCGTGTGATATAGCGCTGTTGACAAGCAGGTGAATGGTCAAGAGAACTACAGATGAAATGCCGTGTGTTTGTTACTGTATCGTGTGTAGACGGCGAGGTTGTCCTAATAAAAAAGCTAAAAGCTATGTGCTATGGTCCAGACTTTCTTCCTTGTACGCGTCATGGTCTGGTCATGTCTAGTCTAATCTAGGGCGAGTTCACGGGGGCTGGCGGGCCTCGCGGCTGCTTCGGCTCGACCTGCTCGTCCGAGACGTCCAGCGTGCCGTTCTGCGCGTGGGATCTCCGCATGCGGTAGTACTGCGCTGCGTCGTCCGTACTCTTGAAGCGTGGGGCCGGGGTAGCGGGCGTAGCCATCGGCGTCATGAAGCGGTTGGCCTCGAACAGGAACTGGTTCAGGTCCACGGCCTTGGTCACGTACTCGAACACGTCGCGCGTGGCGTCGTCCATCTCCTCGATGTCAAAGCCCGTCCGCAGCGGCTTCTTCTCCGCCGGATCGATCGCTGGCTCGAACACGTTGTAAGAGCCATCCGGGTGGAAGATGTACTTGAGCTCCTCAGTGCGAACGCCCTTGCTTATGCCGTTGAACGGGTTGCACATGACGACGCGTCGTTCCTCCGGGCTTTCCCGAGCTTCGGCTGCCAGGGCTTCCGCCTCCGAGTCCTTGACCTCTGCGTCCTTGTCTTTCACGGTCTGGGCTGCCAGAGCTTGCGCTTCGGCTTGTGCCTCTGACTGAACGCGACGGCGCTTCATGGAGTGACCGTATCCGTGCTGGTAAAGCGGCTCCTCCGGCGTGACACCCAGGATGTCTGCAATCGTGGCCATGAGGTCGGACTGCATCGTCAACTGGTTCACCACTGTGCCCTTGTCTGCCTCGAGAAGGAAGTCATCGGCCAGCAGGAGGAATGGAACTCTGGACGCCTCATCCCACACGCCTGAGTCTGCGATGGACGGGTTGTTGTCGTGCTCCAGACGCCCGTAGCCGTGGTCGCCCTCGATAATCACGATGGTGTTCTTCATCAGGCCCTTGGCACGCAGCGCAGCAATAAAGTCGCCCAGCATCTCGTCGGAGAAGTACATGGAGTCCAGGTACTTCTTGTTGTACCGCGTGTACAGCCCCGAGAGGTCTGGCACATCGTAGAAATCCGGCAGAGCCCACGGATTGTGACTCGTAATACTGTACATGTCGATGAAGTACGGCGTCTGGAGTCCTTCCCAGCCAGGAAGCGGTGGCTTCGTCGGCATGGTAGCTGTCGTCGCGGACGAGTCTTCGGTCGAGGTCTTTGAAGCAGACACCCCGTTCTTACTGGAGTGAGTGGCGTGATAGTGTCGTCCCTTGGCAGCAGCCTCCGGAACCGTCAGTGTGTTCTCGAGGTCGGTCGTATTGGTGGACGTCTCGAGCTGATCATTATCAGCTCTAGTCATCTCCGAAGCGCCAACCACAACCGAGCCAGCAGTAGAGTTGACGCTGGCATTGTGCGCTGACTCAATCGCGTACAGCAGCATCTCGAAGGACAGGTGGTCGTGCATGCCCCAGGAGAAGTGGTCGTCCGGCGTGTTCTTGTAGTTGCGCGTCTCGTGAAGCATCTTGCGGATTTTGCGGTCGTCCACGAGCTTGTCGAACCCATTCTTCAGCAGGAACTTGTCCCAGTACTCCCACGTGAGGTCGACAGCACTCCAGAAGAGGTTAAAGTATCCGCGTTCCTTTAAGAAGTGCGGAAGTCCACGCACGTTGAGCGTTGCACTGTACTGTTTGAGTGCAGTGGTCTCTGTGCACGACGGCAGCATGCCGAACAGAGTCGTCAGCAATGTGCGCGTGGTCTGCACACACTGGGTGTAGTGCTTGCTGTACAACACGCCAGTCTTCGCGAGCTCGTCGAAGCGCGGCGTTGCGCTCTTGCCTGTCGTCTCCTTCTTGGCAGCGCCACCGAGGACGCCGACGTCCAGATGCCTCCAGGATTCCATGTTGAGTACGATAATGTTGGGCTGCACTTTGGTGGGCTTCTCTTCAGAGCTGGTGTCAGCCGTAGCGTTCTCTTTAACCTCAGGAGCTGCCGCCTCGGATACCGTTGCGTTCAGCTTCAGCTCAAAGAGGTTGTCGCCTTCGTATCCTGTTGTCTTGCGCCACAGCAACGCGCAGTGGTCATCGTTCCCAAGATTGTCCAGCTCGTACTTCTCAGACACATCCAGCGTCGACCGCAGTGCACTACTCGCAGCAGTGCAGTTAATCTCCTCGCGGTGGATTGTCGTCGGGCGGTAGAAGAACTGCTCGGTCTGCAACGTAAACATGGCGTTGTTCATCAGCTTCATATCCACGCCACCCTTGCCATCAACCAGCAGTGAGGCCGACAGCGCAACACCCGTCATCATCACACTGGCGAGAATGCAGCGAGCCAAAATCGTCAGCGGCCCAGACTTGGTGTACGATCCGTATCCTGTTGAGCAGAGCGACGAGGTCGAGGCAAACGCTGTTGCGTACCCTGAAGAGCATCCGCCGGCACCTGCACCTGGCAAATAGCTGTATCCTTGGCTACTGCGTCTTCGTGCGCGCGTCGGCTTTCCTGCGCGGTTCCAGTAAGACGCGAACAGATCGGACATGTACGACCCCGAGGTCGTGGATATTGAAGAGTTCATCGAGTCCTTCCGAGCGCTATACCTTCTATCGAAGCAGCAGCACAGCGCGCTCGGCAGACGGAGAAAATCCGAGGCAAGCGGCAATCTGCCCGTGTAAAATCCGTACGTCAACGCTGCAATCAGCGCCAAGTAGAAGGCCCACGACCCCACCACCGTCCTGGTCATCACCTCCTCGTCCGTCAGGGAGGCCGTGAACTGCTTCATGTAGTTGAAGAAAATGTTGACGAACGCGCGGTTTAATCTCGGGTGCATCGTCACCTGCAGGCAAAAATCCGCCACACTCGCGATCGTTGCCACCACGAGAATAATCTGCAACAGCGCCAAAATCACCACCGAGTGGAGCGCTCTCTGCGCTCTTGCCACCAGCGCCGGTCGATTCGCCGCCGCACCTAAACTCAGCAGCGTCCGGTGGTTCGTTGCCACGCCCGACGCCAACGCCTCCATGCCTTCGTCTCTTAAATCGTACTCATTGGCCAGTACCGGCATGTAAACCGGCAAAAATCTGGCGCTGTTGCCGCGTTCCCTTAAAAATCCGCTGTTGGGGAAACTCCTCGCGTTGTTTGCCGCCACGAGCCCTTGCGGCGTGAAATTGTCCGCGTCGAATAAGACCTTAACCAGGCAAATGCAAGTCGAGGCCTGCAAAAAGATTGCGACATCTTGCAGCAAGCCGGCAAAAAGCCCCTGCACGATCTTGGGCGCGCTGAAGCGATGCACGAAGCGCGCAAAGTTTAACACCCGCCCGAGCACTGGCAACCCGAGGAATGCGTAAACAAGCGCGGCGAGCCACATGGTCTGGTACACTCGCTGCGACGCGAGCAGCACGCTGCGCCCCCTCCACCAGCGCCGCGTGCGCCCCAGGAACGACGGGTCCGAGTCCAGGCCCATGGGTTTAACACCTCGCGTCACGTCGTCCAGCTCCCGCGTGGGCGAGAGCCCCCTGTTGCGGCGGTAGATCATTGGCATGCTGTGTTGCTCGGCTCGTACTGTACTGCACTGTGTGGTGTTGCTTGCCTTGGTTAGAGAGGAGATGGGTTAGACACTCCGGTAGCGGGCTCGGGGTTCTTCTCGTCTTGTTTGTTGCCGTGCGCCGCCGGCGGTTAAGTGAAGTCGACTCCGCGGTTTTGATGCGATGATGGCGGGGAGGAGGAGATAGGGATATATCCGGCGTCGCCCCGTAACGCGCAGATTGAGACGAGAGGCAACTAACCGCCGATAGATGAAGAGAGCTTGGGACTGCCTGCCTGCCGACGCTGAGCACGAACCCGCCTTACCTGTGCCGACCAGCGGTCCTCGGCGGTATTGCTGTTGTGTGTCCGTGCAAAGACCTGGAGGCCCCCTTCGGCGCGACCGGGATAAAGCGTTACCGGCTGGCGGTATAGTGGGGACTGGTGAAGCGAGTTTTGGCCAGGAAAGGGCAGACCGTCTCGCACGCCCGATTGGTCGGGCGCAGCAGCCTGGTTATCGCACCCGACTGGGCGTTTTCTGCACGTTCCACACCGGATTTTGCTGTGGTGGTGGTGCCGCCACCAACAACTGCAGCTTGAGCCTGCATTTTGCGTGTATGGCTACAGTACCCGGCGGGGCGGGGCTGCAGCCTTGTCAGATTCATCTAGAGACTCACGCAGAGGATTTTGATGGACTTGAAAGTGCAGCTGCAACGGCTGACGCTGGAACGAGGAGCTTCCCCAGTCGGGCGCGTTAGACAGGTTTCGTTGAAGGCCAGGCTGGTCTACATACCGAAAAGGAAAACCGCTAGGGCGGCCGCCATTTTCCCCTTCGCCCACTACGCCACACAGCGCAATATGCAAAATTGCTCCAGCTTACGCCGGCTGCGGCGGAGCCGCTTTGCACGATGATGCCAAGCTGCCATCACTAGCGACACGCATGGCCCAAGGAATGTTGCACACGACCACTGTGCGGTCACTTCATTGGCGGAAATCGCGGGTCATAACGGCCATACGATTGGACGTTTCGTGTCAGACGAAACACCCACTCTTCCATTGGTAGAAAATGTCTTCTTTTTCAGCCAACGACAGCGCACCACCAACTGACACCCAAATACCGACCGAGATGGAGGGGCTGCTACCGGCGCCGCTGCTGCGCTCGCTGCGGCGCTTCGCCGCGCCCGAGGACTCGGAGGACGCCGCGCCGTATTCCGCGCTGACCGGCGGTGCGCTTCTGGGCACGCAGAAGTCCAGCGCCGATGGAGTTCTGAAGCAGGTCGCGGTCTGGGGGCTGCTCCGCCTGTCCCCGGACGACGCCGCGAATGGCCAGTCCTTCGACCGGCACCTGCCTGGGGGCATCTGTCGCGTCGGTCGCTTCGCTGTGGTGCGCGGGGAGACGACGGAATCCGCCAAAGAGCTCGGTGCGTGCCGTTTTGTTTCCGACAAGTTTAAGCTGGTGCTAACCGGTTAGATACTTTTAAGCTAGTGCTAAACTTTTTTTTCTCTGGGTGTGTATGATGATGAACAGAATCTGTTGCATTGCAAGCGACAAAGTTAAAGGATGAGGTTGTGCTGGTGTATACAATGGCGACTGAGACGGCGACAATGTTCCATTGCAAGGAGGGAAGCGCCACAGAGATCAGCTTGACTATGGTGCAGTGTCTTCACGCTCGGGACTTTCATCGCGCCGTTGGATTCGCGCCACTGCGTTGCGCGGTGGATTTAAGCACTTTTGGAGACAAGAGTTCACTGTTGCATCAGCTGGAGAAGTACAAGGCTGCGACGCGTGAAGACAAAGACTTTTTCGTTCGTGTGGGGGCCACGCAGGCCAAGAAGGGCAGGAGCTACCGTGTGATTAATGCTCGAGGAGAGGACGTCTTGTCTTCTAATTGCAACCCATTGCTGTTGGATTCCATCCTGCCAGAAGTTGATACCAGCAGTGATGACGCTGGAGAGTCCAAGAGCAAGAAGAAAAACGGCAAAAAGCAGAAGAAGGCAGGGACTAAGAAAACTGCAACAAGTGAGGAGGAGGACAAGTTGGGATTTTTGCCGTCATTGGAGTATGGCGACATTGCAAACGTGGATCTGCTGGTCAGCCTTGCACCGCTGGATGCCACGGCTGAGGTCACAGCGCCCGTGGTTACGATTCCGGCGCCTTCTGCCTCCAAGAGCCCCCGCCAAAGCTTTCATGCTCATTGTGACGCGTTTGTTGTGGTGCCTGTGGACTCGTCGGTGGAAGTCGCGCTGGCGCTGCTTCGGCAGCAGCTACACGAACAGTTGACGGAAGTTGCCGATCGCCTGGAGAATGCTCCTGAGTCGGTTGTCTCCGTTTCGGCGCACCAGTTTCCGCTCGTTGGCGCGGCGTTCCCTTTGTTGGTGGTTTCGAACTCGACAGATGCTGATGGCAGCGATGAGACCATGGACGATGTAGAAACGCTCGAGAGCTTGCACCGCGCGTTCCTGCAGCCTAAAGACCAGCCGCTGTTTCGAGTTTCTCGTGGCTGCTCGCTGGCGCAGCAAAGCAAGTGGCTAGCCTCAAGTGATGTGCTGTATAATGTGCATGAAGGCATCCCAAGCTCTGGTGTTGGCACTCAATGCCAGTCAGCTCTGGTGAACGGATTCTACGGCTACTACCACTACATGCAGCAGAGCAAGAACGACAAAGGATGGGGCTGCGCGTATCGGTCGCTGCAGACTTTGGCCTCCTGGCTTTTCCTGCAGCACTACACGCAGCATCGATTCCTGTCGCACGATGAGATTCAAAAGGCGTTGGTGAAGATGGGGGACAAGCCCGAGCAGTTCCGAGGATCGACCGAGTGGATCGGCAGTCTGGAGGTCGGCTACGTGCTGGACGAGCTGTTTGGCGTGACGTTCCGCTCCCTGAGCGTCTCGAGTGGCGCTCAGCTTCCCGATATCGCTCGCGAGCTGATCTATCACTTCGAGACGCAGGGAACGCCCGTTATGATGGGAGGTGGTCAGTTGGCGTTCACGATACTCGGCGTGGACTACGACCCCGACGCTGGTGTGTGCGCTTTCCTCACGCTCGACCCGCACTACACTGGCGACGAGGATCTGGCCGCAATCCAGTACCAGACCGTGACGCTGGAAGGATACAAGGCAGTTCCGTGCAGTTGGCGCAAGACGACGACGTTCGCCAAGAACAGTTTCTACAACTTCTGTCTGCCGCAGCGTCCGAGTGTGGGAGTGTGAAGGACGGAAGACCTTAGATAAAGAGAAATGAGAAGCAAAGTCAATGGATCAATCGTTCGTACAGCTACAGAAAATATTTTATTTTTCCCTTGTTTCTGCAAATAGCTGACAAACCTCCGCGATGAAGCGGACGAGGGTGAGTGAGTGAGTGAGATGCGTGCCGCTCAATCGTGGGGCTCGTCGACTTGATTGGTAGTGGTCGGTGGGTGGGTAGTTGGAAGTTCGAGCTATGAACATGTCGAGGCAGTACGCTGGAAGCTCTTGTACACTTGGAACGGGAATAGATAGAGAGCTCTTGCGCGAACATTCTTGATTTTTCTGGACAAAGGCGGAGGAGAAGGCCTCCCACCTTGACAGTTTGTCTTGTCTTCTGTTTTTTCTCGTCTTGGTCATCTTGTTTCTTGCTTGGCTAAGCCCACCGTGCCATGTGTTGTTTGTGCTCGTGCGACGGACCTATGCCGTCAGCGCGTTCTGGTGTCTGTGGTGTTTGCTATTGCGTCTGTTCGAGACAGCCGACGCCGCTACTGCCGAGGCCTGCGCGATGGCACGCAGGTTGCTTGACCGCGCGTTGTTGGCCGAGTTGGTCAGCAGCTGCGCCAGGATGTCCACCTGGTTCTTCTTGTTGGCCTTCTTCATGAGCGCCTTGGTGTTGTCCATGACCGTGTCGGTGAGGCGAGGAGCTCCACGCGACGCCTGCTTGGCGAAGCGCAGCAGGTTCACCCAGAGCTCGGCCTCCTCCGGCAGCTTGGAGCGCATGAGCATCATCGACGGGGCGTCGGCGCCCGTGTCGTGGAACTCGATGCGGAAGTCTCCCTGGCTCATCTTCTCGATGTGCGCCACGTTGCGCAGGTCGATGACGCCGCGCGGGCTCTTCCAGTAGCTGCGCTTGTACATGAGCACCACGCCCGCCTGGAAGTCCAGGTAGAACCAGCGCTTGTGCCAGCTGCGCATCAGGAAGGGGATCGTGTCCTTGAGCAGGTTCACGTAGCCGCAGTACGGCGGCAGCTCCAGGTCGGCGGGTGGCATGGCTGGGGGCAGCTCCGTGCGCTGCGCCTGCCGCAGAACAGGCCCGGGCACGTGCGCGGTACGCGCCTGCTCCTCGCGGAAGGCGGTCAGGAAGAACTGCTGCAGCTGGATCTTCTCCGAGCGGATGACCGAGATGGCCTCCACCATGCTCATCTGGTCGTGCGCGAGCTCGGCGAGCTCGTCGTCGTCCAGCTCGAGACTCTTGGCCTTGAGGCGGTCCTCGCGCTCCATCTCCCAGAGCGTGTGCTCGTCGACCTCGTTGCCCTCGTCGTCCAGCAGCGTGAACCTGCCCGAGTCGGTGCGCTCGCGGTGCAGCAGGTTCCTGGAGCTCATGATCTGCTGCTGCGAACCGAAGGGGTAGACGGCGGGGCCCAGCGTGTCGAACGCGAGGTGCTCCTCGTCGAGGTCGCTGTCGTCGTCGTCCCAGTCGCCCCTGCCCAGCCAGAAGGCCTCGCCCAGGCCGAAGTTCTGGCGGAACATCTCCACCGTGTTGGCGTCGCTCACGTCGTAGTAGCCGTGCGACTCGAAGAACTGCAGTCCGTCCTCGGCGTCGCCCTCGTACACGGCCTGCAGGTGCAGGTCGAAGGGCGTGACCCGCTCGGCGCTCTCCTGCCGCTTCATGCCGAAGCACGCGGGCTCGAGCTCCGGCTCCAGGTTGTAGTCGCTGCGCTGGCGCTTGGTCAGGTGCGCGTACTGCTCGTAGCCGCCCTCCATGACCGACAGCTTGCGCGTCTTGGTGGCCTTGCTCTTGGAGGCGCCGACGACGAGGGGCTTGGGGCGGTACGGCAGCGGCATGATGCGCTCGCCGCGGTGGTTCAGCATGGCCGTGGGCTCGGCCCGCTGCGCCATGGCCAACATCCTGCTCCTGTCTGTGATGTCCGTCGGGCTGCGGCTGCCCGGTTTTAAGTCTCTCTGGGCTCTTACCCTTAGCCTAAAGATCTCTCACTCTTATTTCGGAGGAGGAGGGTAATAAACAACCTCTTTTTCGCTTCGCCCTTTTCCTTTTGAAGTGCGAAGAAGGAAGGCAACGAACAGGAGCCCTGCTGCTGCTGTGGCTCTGCTGCTGCTGCTGTTGCTGGTGGCGCTGCTTGCTGTCGCGGGCGGCTAAAAACAAAATTTAAAGCCGACGCTTGGCGTGTCTCGGTCAAGCCGAGGCGAGCGAGGTGTCGACGCGCCTGTCACGAAGCCCGGCGGCAGGAACGTCCCTTGGCGCTGCTGCTTCCGCTCTTCTTCCCGTGCTCCGCTTTCCCCACTGCCGGGGCCGCTGCGGAACGTGCGAGCGCAGGCGTGCCACGAGAAAAATGGGCCGCGCACCCCCAATTGGCAACTCGTGTTCAGGAATCCTTAGTGAAACTGGAAAACTGTATGGAAAGCTGCAAGTGGTCGGTGCAAGGTTGCCAGTTAAGGGGAAGGGGCTAGGGCCGCAAGTGTTGCGCTGACTATTGGAGCCGCGAACGAAAATGTTTCTCAACCAGAGCCAGACATGCGCAGGCTTTCGCGCCGCGAAAACGTCCGCGCCGCCTCATCTAGGCACCAGCGAGGCCAGGCCTTGTTACACCGGAAAATGCCCGCAGCGCTCCGTCGGCCGTCGCAAGCATATCCTTGGCGACAGAAGTCGCTGCTCGAGACATTTGGTGTTTTTTAGTTTATTTTTCTGAGCAGATGGACAGAGGTCGTGCGCACTGCCAGCGATATCGATCAGCTTGTGTAACGACGTCGAATGCCGCAGCGAGCCCAGCACGCTCGCCGATGGCCTCGAGAAGATCTCTTCCTATTAGGCCCCACTGCTCGGAACATCTTGTGGCATCCAGATGTATGTCGACGAACGGGCTAGCTGTTACTGCCCGGAAGTTCGAGCGGTATCGTTTGGTTCTAGGGCCGGTGAGTGACTAGCTAAACCTTAGCTACCAAAGCTTGCATCACGAAATACTCCTGCCGTGAAAAGCTGGTTCCTAAAACAACAGGGAAAGTAGTAATAAAAGTAGGAAGTGCTTGGCCTCCAGAAGGAGTCCTCACGGGAAGGCATATTTGAGGGCGCTGCACTCCGCCAAGAGGGCCAGCTGCCCTCTCGATACTGAAATCAAGTGAGTGCGGAGCCGAGCTTGACGTCGCGTCCACCAGTTGCTGGCGCAACCCGACGGCCTCTTTCAGATGGGGCAGCATCCCGTAAAACGGCCCATCGGTCGGTCTAAAAGAGGGTTCACCGTGCATTATACTTGTAATATGCAGATAGCGGATATAAAGCACCAGCTGACTCCCCTTTATCCGGCGCCTAATAGCAGCCTCGCTCGTGAGAGCGGTACAGTGTACCGCGGTATCTTTGCTGACCAAGCAGCCTCTTCAACTTGACCACGCGGCATCTTCACGACCAAACGAGCCCGTGCCGCACGACAGCGTCGTGATCGTCTGCCCATAATAACACCCTCGCACAGCCAGCACCACCACTTTCTTATCCGCTCTGTTCTTGGCCGGAAGGCAAGATGCAAAATCCAGTGCTCGCGCCAGCGTCAGGCTTGACATCTTCAGTATCGCTGGCGCCGACACCGCAGTTCGCACCACAGCTGGAGGAGACTCCAGTCTGGAGTCGAACCATAGTTCACCGAGCGGTGATACCACTGGAAGTGAGTCGGGCCGACTGAACCGGCAATCCACGCGGTGAACAACCACCAGCGTAATATAAACAATGCGTGTAATTTCTGAAGCTCGATGTGCAAACCTCTTTGGTCCATGTTGCACCTAACTTGTCGGCGAGGGTTGAGTTTTGTGCGGGGCAGCGGTTGCGATGAAAGATTCCCAAAGATACACTCTCTAGCCCGTGAGAAGTACCGTATGCTTGAATATCCTGGTGTCCATGTCTAATACATATTTTGCTATTTCTTACTACGACTACTGTACTACCACTACGTACGAGTCCTCAATGCTCTTTACGATATATATATATATACCACACAGAGTTGTGTAAAATTAAGTTACATGCAATGCCATTTTCCATAATATCAAGGTCATTTTTGCAGCAAGTGTTGTGTGTGTATTTCTACTGTATATGATCCTACGCCGATGCTTGGTGCACTCGAGCGGATTTTTTTTCAGAACATGTATTCTTGTTCCTTGCGGCCAATTATTTCTTATCCACCGCATTTCATTAGACACGGACGAGTGGTACGCTGTACCGTATCTTTTTCTCTTTGGCCGCGGATTGGCCAGCGCACGTATCCAAATGACAGCGCCATAACCGTTACGATATCATACAATCACTTTGTTCAACTTCCAAGAAACTGCTCAAGATGCTATCATCTTTCCAATATATTTTGGATGGTGCACTTGTTGGTCCGTACGGCCTGGAGCCACCACTAGTAGGAAAAAGGAAAAAGATTGAATGGCTGAGCCTCCCAGCTCTTACCACTACTCTCGGGCTTGAGCCCGTTTCTCATGCAACGACCCGCAGTTCTCAGCTCTGCTAATTTTCTCAGGTACCTAGTCTCAGCATTCGCCCGGGTCTCAACTCTGACCTTCAACTGGGTCTTCAATGTGCATTTCAACACGCCTCCCTCGAAGCATAAGCTTCGACTAATCCGCATCATTATTTTGTATTGCATTATTTATTACCAATGCCGGCCAGCCCTAGTATGTTCTGCAGACGCAGCTTGTCGAGCGGCTTCGTGAAAGTGTCAGCGGGGTTCACCTCGCCTCTTATCTTGTGGAGTTCAATCACGCCTCGTTCAACTTGCTCACGCACAAAGTGCCAGCGCAACTCAATGTGTCGGGTGCGACGGCTGTAGGTAGGATTCGTAGCCATGATGTGCGCGGCTTGGTTGTCGATACCAATGCGCAGCTTCAGACACTTGTGTGGCAGTATTTCCTGCAGAATGTTGCTTTCTGCAACTGCCTCCATTGGGGATCCT